ATATATTATATATATATATATATATATATATATATATATATACACACACTCAAAAGTTTGGGATCAGTAAAATTTTTAATGTTTTTTAATGGAGTCTCTTGTGCTCATCAAGACTGTATTTATTTGATTAAAAAATACAGAAAAAACTGTAACATTGTGAGATATTATTTCAATTTCTAATATTGGTTTTCTGTTTTAATATACTTTAAAATATAATTTATTTCTGTGATCAAAGCTGAATTTTTATCAGCCATTACTCCAGTCGTCAGTGTCACATGATCCTTCAGAAATCATTCTAATATGCTGATTTATTATCAGTGCTGAAAAGTGTTGTGCTGCTTCATGCTTCTCTTTTTTTTTGGAAACTGTGATACTTTTTTCTGGATTCTTTTATGAATAAAAAGCTAAAAAGAACAGCATTTATTTAAATTAAAAATCTTTTCTAACAATATGAGTCTTTACTATCACTTTTTATCCATTTAACACATCCTTGCTGAATAAAAGTATTCATTACTTTCAAAAAAAAAAGAAAAAAAATTACCGACTTATTGTAACACAAGATTTCCATTTTGAATAAATGCTGTTTTTTTGTTTTTTTCATAAAAGAATCCTGAAAAAAGTATCACAGGTTCCAAAAAACATGAAGCAGCACAACTGTTTCCAACATTGATAATAAATCAGCATATTAGAATGATTTCTGAAGGATCATGTGACACTGACGACTGGAGTAATGATGCGTGATAATACATGTAAATATTTTCAAAATATATGCTGTATGTGCGTGTCTTTATATATACACATAATAAATATACACAGTACACACACATATTATGTAAACAAAAACTTTTATTTTGGATGCGATTAATCGCGATTAATCGTTTGACAGCACTAATATATATATAGTGGGACCTGTAAAAATGTTGTCAGTAAAAGTAACAATTTCACCAGGCCAGCAGAAAAAAAGAAATATATATCTTATTGGTGAGACCTGTCATGGGCTACATGCTTGTTTATGCAAGAGCAAAAATAATAGCAAAAAGATGCTAATAAACTAGGATGAGTTTCTTTCTGTGGCGTCTGCTCCACATCACCAGAGACTTTAGCGCCTCAGTCTATGAGGCAGTCTCAGGTCAACTGAAACTAGAGGAAGGAATGCAGGAAGGAAGCAAAGAAAAGGGAAAGAGCGAGATAAAGTGGCCTTGCACACTGTAAAATCTCTGTTCTCGTCAATTCCAGAGGGAAGAGAGAAGCCCGCAGGTAAGACTCCAGAAAAGGTCGAGGTAGAAGAGCTCCCTCTCTCTGCCTCTCTACCAAAAAGAGAGGGAAACACTTTCGGAGAGCAGATTGGAGGGAAAAGGCGCTCGTGTTCTGGCGAATTATGGAAGCATAAAAAGCCCATGCTGGAAATATTTGACTATGCCAAGATATAAAAGGTAAAAGGACCATCTGTGCCATTTGCATCCCACTCTCCCTGGTTGTCTCTGTGGTGCAGCAGAGTAAACCATCTCGCAGCAGATGCTGATGGAACGCAAACATACAAGTTAGTGATGCTAAGAGAGCTTGTGTGTCCAATCAGAACGAGCCTCAGAGATGATAAAGATGCATTATAATGTGATGCAAGTTGCAAGTATAACCATGGCAACTGTCCCAGCCTGTTTTGTCTATGCAGTGTTGTTTGTGGTGAGTGGTGAGCTTCCTTCCTCCGCTACCGTGAAGACCATGCCATAATGAAGCTGTTTTTCAAGACTTGAATGCATTAAGTCAACTCATCTGAAGCATAGGGATTAGAAGAATCGGTTCACCAATGCATTGCGATTCTCTCAAATTATTAATGATCCTCAAATTCATGAAATTATTATTAAATCGGTTTCTTGAAATGATTAACAAGATAAAATATTACGAATACAAGGATGGTGTGCAACACTACAGAAAGTCAAAGACATACCGTAATCACTGTTGCTAAAAACCTGAGAAGCATCAAGAATCATTTTACAATCAGATTCAGGCTCACTGAATCAAAACAGAATCAAATCATGAGGAACCTAAAGATTTTCAACCCTAATAGGCAATGGTCATTGTTATTTTCTGTTTTTGGCTCTGGTTTGACACATTTACAGTGACTGACTTTCACCAAAAGCATAATTATTACTTCCCAATTCATGAATTATACACATTTCATTCAAGAATAGAGGTCGTCGCAACCCAAAAATGGAACACGGGTCTATTCTGAAATGGTTGCTGACAACAGGGTAACAAACTCTGTTAAATGCAAATATAAAATAATCATGTTAACTTATAAATAGACTCATTAACTATTAAGGGAGGAGAAAATGATTCTAATATCTTTTACTGTTGACATCAAAAGCTAAACATCAGTATTTTACTGCAACTGTAGATGTCATTTAATATTAATAAAATATTGAGCCCAGAGTGTCTTCTAATGTTCTAATAATTTTATAAAAATGTAGCCTAGTCAATTTAGTAAATTTTAGCTGATTTTGCTGGGCCTGTTCTGGTATTTAAAAAATTACTCATAATTGATTCTAGGGACATTTTTGTTTCTTTTGAGCACTAAACAAGTTTGGTACTGTGTTGGGTCACCACTTGACGTCCAATATAAAATCTTTGTCCTGGAGCAAAACCAGCTGAGTACCACTAGCATACAATTAATTATGCTAATCTGGTAACAACTTCACTTGGCGACACAGCATGACTTATTTGTAAAGCATGATTTCTATAAACTACAAACAAAGTGAAATAGACTTTCTGCAATTATTGAATGAAGGCTCTCAACAACATATTCTGACATGATAAAAAGAAAATAAATAAAATAAAAACACAGACAGTCTCAGAATGGGTGTGTGGGTGGAAATTAGTCACAGAAGAGTAAATGCTCAACACAAGAAAACCAAACGATGGGTAGAGTATACAGAGAGAGAGAGAGGGAGGGAGGAAGAGAGAAGCGAGGGAAAGCTCGAAGACTTCCAGTAGATATCGGCTTTGACAGAGAAATAATGAAGTGACATGATGCTGATGCAGAAAGAGACAAAATGCAGCTTGCTCGTTTGATGTTTTTAGGGCTGATGAATCTCCTTAGGGCTGAAGAGGAGACATACAGTATGTTCCTCTCGCCGAGATTCTGCCTTTCCACTAATGAATCACATCATCCAGCCATAGAGGATTCGATAAGCCTATAAAAAGCTTTAGCTCAGGCATCACTGTCTGAAAGATTGCTTCAAGGTTGCTGGATGCGGTTACATCCAATTCAATTGTTTCAGCTCAGAAGTGACATAACATTAAATCAAGGACAGTCGAGAAAGCCACAGAGCTTCTCATTTAGTCAATATCAGGTTCTTGTTAGAAAAGACAGGTAGCAGAACACAAAACATGTAACAATGTTTGCAAGATATTTTAGCTGCTCCGCATTTCAACCACAGGAAAATCAAATACAGAATAGGATTTAAAATAAAAAAAGCGTAGGTTTGATCGTACAGTTTTAAGAAAGCTGGAGGAAGCAAAAAGGAATTGAACATACTACAAAAGTAGGCCTAAACCAATTTTACAATTTGTAATGGTTAAAGAAATCAGACTAGTGCATGTTCACATGCAAAAACTATTTTTTTAAAAACAGCGGCGATAAAAGAATGCAAGAATATAACCCTAAGGAGGTTAGTTGGTCTCCTATCATGGCTTAGCTTGCTAGATTTGTTTGTTTTGCAAGTTTTAGACAGGCTGACCATCTAAACGAGGTAAACAAGGCTGCGAGACCAACTAAATCAACTAGAACCAGAAAACTACGTCATTTAAGAGCACTAGTCAGCTGGTAAGGCTGGGAGACAAAGTAACTTAACTAAGACCAGCAAACAACATCATTCAAGAGCACTAGTCAGCTGGTCAGCCGACTAAACCAGCTTAACTGAGCTGGGAGACTAGCTAAATTACAGGCGTTAATACTGAATGTTTAACATTATATTCATTGCATACATATACTTCGTAGTAGACATCCATAACTCCTTTCTGCTGTCTGTTGTCAGTGTTTCTTTGTTTGAATATGGCGCTTATCACATGCTGTGGTATCGGCGTTTGGTATCGGGGCATTTTAACGAGTACGAGTACGAGTACAGGAGGCCAGTATCGGGCCCGATACCGATACCAGTATCGGTATCGGTGCATCCCTAGTTAAAACCAGTAAACCCCATCATGTAAGAGCACTACCCAGCTGGTAAGACCGGGAGACCAGCTGGGTGACCAACTAAACCAACTGACTATCCACATAGCTGCCTGAATACAGGTTTGACGAGGCTGGGAGACCAGTTAAACCATCCTAAACCAGCTAAGACCTGCAAATCACCGTCTAATGGGGTTTAGTAGAGCAATGACCTTGTTTACCTACATCAGACCACCTCAGGAGAAGCCCATAGATTAGAGTCCGTTAATGTTTTAAGCACATCTTCACCACAGCAGGCGGACGGCACGACACAAGACACCCTCTCGCATTCTAAATCCCGTGACGCCGCCTCGAAGGAACGCAGTCTTCCAGCCGCTACCAGCGTGACGCTCATCATCACTCACATGAGTCAGAGAATGCCCATAAGCTAATGGAATAAATCAAGGATGAAATATCAATCAAATTACAAACTAATAGTTCCCTTAATGTCTTTGTTGGAGTACAGATGGCCCCTTCAGCCAGCCAAGCACACCACAGCAAGTCATCATGATAATCAGCGCACTAATAATACCACTCCATTAATCACACATACGCGCTCGAACTGCGTCGCTGCAAACAACGGGTGCTCTGCCGCAGGAACATCACAAAGTTGAAGCATGGTAACACTCACTCATTACACTGGTAATTAACTTTTCTCTAGAATTATGCTTATTGTTTAACAAAACTACAAGGTAAGATATCCGATGAGGGGGTGTTTGTGAGCGCTGCTGTTACCTGGGCTTCTGCATACAATGGTCTTCATTTCATGCAACATAATAAAATAAAAAAATAAGGGCAACATGCTGATACTTACATTTAGTGGGGAGGTCGTAGCCGCAGGTGATCTTGGCTTTTCCAGTTTCACAGCCGTTTAACGAGTGGCACTCTTCATACAGAAGATGACCCGCGGCTCTGTGTATGCAGCCATCCACTGAAAGAGAGAAACAACACTGATGTGACAACAGAAATGTTTGTTGCAATATTAAAGGTTTTTTCCAGCTGAAATAAAAATGCTGCCATTTATTCATCATCATGTTGTTCCAAAACCACAAAAGTAGAACTGACACGCACAACAACAGTTCATAGCCTGTGACAAGGTCTGTCTATGCCCAAAAGCGGAAAAAAAATATTATATTCCTAAAAAATTCTCCTTTTGTGCTCCACAGAAGACAAAGGCATTCAGGTTTGGAACACAATGAGGAAATGATGATTTCAATTCTGTGCTGAGCTATTCTTACAAGCTAATGTTTTTAAACAGGACTGAATTCATATAGGCATCAACAAAATAAAAGAGCCCCTGTGGAAGGAGGAGTCATGGCCCTTTATCTACTGATACTAAAAAAGTGCTAAACCACTTCATATCCCTGACCACTGTTAATTTGTATAAAATGAATGTCTTTTGTCTTAAAAGCTTTGGTTTGGTGTGTTGTTTTGCTCTCCCTTGGTTGTCCCCACCTCCCGATGTTTTAATTTCACATGGGTAAACCCAGGATGCCTTTGACTGATGGTACAGCTTACATGAGTAGGCAGAGAAACAGAAATCCAAATGGTTTCCCTCCCTCTAAAAGCCCATGACCCATTATCAATCACAGAGAAATATCATAAAGGTACAGTAATAAGAAAAATAAATAAATCTGCAGAACATGTAAGCAGAAATACACGAACAAATGCAGAGCTCCTGTACTCTACTCTCAAGAAGATCATTATAAAGAGAACATGAAATGAAAACTGACCCCATTTACAGTATGTACACGTCATTCTTAAGAAAAAACAATGGTTTTCATAATCTTTCAACAAAATATAATAGCTTTTTCAATATCTGAAATGTATTATCTGTTCTGCTAATGTAACCAAGGATGACGTTGGAAAAACACTTTAACCAATTATAGCACAGTCTACCTTTCACGAGTCGACCAATCAAATCTAGCCCTGTCCTACATTTTATAGTTATATATATATATATATATATATATACTGTATATAATACTTAGGTTTGGGGGGAGGGGGATTTAAGTAATTTTGGCACATAACTTTCCAGGTAGTATGGACATTAATAATGTCAAATCATATGTATTTCAAATCATATGACAACATAACAAAAATGTTAACCACTTGGGATCTGTCACATATTCAGGATAGGAACAAACTATTTTCTGCATAAACATCTACTTAAATAATATTTCACACCAAAATGTCACATTATTGACATTAAATGCGTTCAAAAAGGTGTTTATGTTGACTTTGAAAAAATGAAGAGAAATCATTTCTTCTTCACAACCTGTGATTGAACGCCCCAGCCAACAGGTCGTGGATACATGTGACCTAAATGTATATTTTAGCTGCTGCCACTGATCTGGTTTGCGCAGAGATGAACAGCATGTCATAAAGGAGATCAGTCTCAGTACGCTAATGACACAAGCAGATGAGAGGCAATAAAGATGACAGACAGTCCGCTGTTACAGAAGAGAGGATGAGCTCGAGCTAAATTTCATGATCGACCTGATCCACTCACTCATTTATTGTGCAATGACGTTGTAAATGAGTGTGAACAGCTTTGGCAAAAAACAAAGCCCCATTTTCCTTGCTCTTGTTCCTTGTCAGAAACTCCACCCAAGTTGACAAAAACTACATACAGATTTTTTCGTCACAATTTTCTTTAGGAGACACCAGCTGGAGGGGAGATTTTTCCACCATGCTCAATCATCTTTAATGGTCGACAGCAAGTCGACAGATACAGATTCTGAAGGCTTTTGAGAAAGCACTCAGTTCGAAAAGATGAAGACAGTGACAGAGCTTGCAATGAGAGAATCGGTTGCTCAGACAGCCTGACAATTACCGCATCAAACGCCATCAGAACGCAATGGACATTTTGACAGAGTTGTGTAGGCGTACTTCTTTACATCCTGCTGTTATGTGAAGATTGTATGTTTCCTTAATACATACAGTACAGTTGCTGAGAAATCAGCATCGATCACATGGAGGGATCACTCAAGTTCAACAATGTTCATTTTATATAACAGCTCAATAAAAAAAGAAGTTAATATTGAGAAACTTACATTTTAGAAATTGCTTACAGTACTTCTGTTCTGTCAATGAAAATAGTTCCAAAGAATGCCAAAACTGTACTGGCTGTCATGTCTCCCAGCAACAAACAGCATTTGTGTTTGATTCCTGAATGAATCAGCATTTTGAACAATTCGATTTTTGTGAATATAATAAAGAGAGTCATTTTTGGGGGGTTGTGGCTAGAAGGGATACAGCTATGGCCGGAAGTGATGCAAAATCTCGCTGGATGAAAGATAAGATAAGATGAAATTTAAAATCTCGCTGAATGGACAGGAAAAAATTAAACAGACAGTGAAGAAGACAACTAGCGAAAATTTTGCAAGACGTCCAGCCATAGCTGTATCCCTTCTAGCCACAATCCTTGTTTTGTTCCTGAATGAATCAGTGAACAATTCAATGCTTCACTCATAAAGATGGACATTAATGAATCATCATTTTTAAAGAAATCGATTCAGTGAAGAATTCAATGACACATGTGTTTTCTTCATGAATGAATTAGTGTTTTGAACAAAACAGTGCAGTGAATGGCTAATTGATTGCTCAAAAAGTCTCTTGGCGCCACCTACTGGTGTTACGATGTAACCTACATAAAGAATGACTGGCAATACTTAATTCGCAGACTTGACAGTCAAATTTACACTGCTATATATCAGCACTTTCAGCTAATCAAATTCGCGGACCATAACCAACTATTGTATAATTTTGAACACTTTATAAACCAATGTCTACAATACAGCAGGCCCCTGTAAACAGAGTCCATTACGCATAAAGCCTCTTGCTCAGCAAACAGCATTGCCGTAAAAACAGCATATTTTGCTGCATGTAAAGTACATTATTACAGCTCTTATGCGTTAGCATTAAAAGTCAGTTGGCTGTGAATCACACCTCTCGTGAATACGCCTGGTCAAGCACACCACTGCCTTTGAGAGATGAGTGTTACAGGAAGTGGAGCATGTTATTGCAGATTGCAAGCACGGTTAAAAGGCAATAAATTCTTGTAGTATGTTGAATAGGTAATCAACATGCATGTGTGAATGTTGGGCTTCAGCAGGAAGGAAGCATTTACGCAGGAAATAAACCCTCAGTAATGTCAGTCTGTTTGTAGAAGTGTGTTTACTCAAAAGTAATTAATAACGCTTCGCAAAATGCTTGTTTTTCATTAAGGGCAGTTAAAAGCAAAGCTCATGCTGTTACGGTTCATCCCACTTGCTGACTGATCCTAGTCCTCAAGCAAACCCACTGACGAGGTTGATTTAAATTAACAGTATTTCATTTTTCATATATAACATATTAATATTATTTTATATAACGGGTTATACATTTGTAATCTCTAACTTTTGCTTCATCATGTTTATGGAAATTTCCCAGCCTAGAAATATGTTGCACTAATACACCTTTGTACATCATAACATCAAGTTTACAATCAAGTAACATGCATTCCCAACAACCCCAACATACACATGGACTAACCATGACCTAGAGGTGAGCACTAGCATAATGTCTCCCTCTAATAATGTCAGAGTTCTATTTGTACATAGCTGTTGAGCAAAATCTGGAGCTGTAGGCCAAGGATCGGATGGAGATCAGGAGATACAAGTCAATCGGCACATGATCAAAATCAAGATTTCCTTACCTCTTCACAGCCTGTCAAAGCCCATTATTATTTGACCTGATGCTGCTGGTGAACACATCAAATGTTTTTGAGCTTTTGTGAAGCCTTCTCTCCTATATCTGATTATTTGATCCGTATGCAGCTCTCATATCACTGCCCTCTGCATGTCTCAGGCTGGTCAGAAAAACATCACAAATGCTGATTTATTCTGTACCCTCACAATCCCACGTTAAGCATGTACCATACTGGCCTGATAGCTTTCATCTGTGCTCGAATCAGCCTAAAAAAAGTGTTTTTACTTTTTTTCTCTTGCTTATTTTGTGTTTATCACTGACAAGGCCAGTGACTCGGTTGAGTGGTGTCTTGTAGAAATATGTAGATTTCTAGAGACCATCAGGGTTAACGCAGACACACCAATTTCAACAATGCAAAAATGCATGTTGCATTGTAAAATCAGCAACTTTGTAGGGAGCACTGTAAAATGGCTTATAGGCATGGAAGATTTAGATGATGAATGTACTGCATATAGACAGGGATGACTTCAGACTGTGTGTGTGTGTCTGAGTTTTCAATTAAAAAAAACAGCTACTAAAAGCACTGCAAAGTAAAATAAACATACTACCAAGTTTTGGGGTCAGTAAGCAAGAAAAATGCATTGTAAAATCAGCAACTTTGTAGGGAGCACTGTAAAATGGCTTATAGGCATGGAAGATTTAGATGATGAATGTACTGCATATAGACAGGGATGACTTCAGACTGTGTGTGTGTGTCTGAGTTTTCAATTAAAAAAAAACAGCTACTAAAAGCACTGCAAAGTAAAATAAACATACTACCAAGTTTTGGGGTCAGTAAGCAAGAAAATTTGGATGCATTAAATTGATCAAAAGTGTCAAAAAATTGTAGAAAATTTTCAACATTTTTTCAACAAATGCTGTTCTTTTGAACTTTCTATTTAACAAAGAAATCTGAAAATAAAATGTATCATGGTTTCCACAAAAACATTAAGCAGCGCAACTGTTCAACAGTTAAAAGCATATAAGAAAATGTTTAAAGAATTTTTTCATGGTCCTGTTTTAGTTTTTTGTGTTTTGTTTAGTTTTTTGTGTTTTGTTTTGTTTTTTTGTGTTTTGTTTTGTGTTTTGTGTTGTGTTTGATATGTTACATTTCATGCTTAAGCTAAAAAATAAGATAAGGGACATAAAAGTGTCTGAAGTTGAAGAAAACACCCAGAAAGGAACGCTGGTAGATTGAAC